ATATAATTCTGATTTGTATTTTATCAATGTTATTTTACGTCAATACAATAGGTTGTGTGAAATTTAATTGCTTTTCAATAAACAATTGTCGGAAATTTGAATCAACTAAATTAGCATGTTAAATTTAAGTGTTAAATAAATATAGTGTTTATATTACTAGATAGACTATTAAGATTCAACCAAATTATCAAAACCGCAATTTCCTTTTTATACGACACTTAATGTGTTTTCTAATAATATTAATAATTCTTGTGTTTTTAGTTCATAACAATTAATAATTATATTGAAATATATTGCAATTCTTACAAATTAAATACAAAGAATAGAGAAAATTAATTTAGTTTTTCTATTAACAACAAAAACACAATCATTTATCTGTTATTTTTAGCAAAAATATATACTATAATAAGAATTCAAATAATTAAAATTGCTCTCTCTCTCTCTCTCTCTCTCTCTCTCTCTTTCTCTCAACCTAAATGAACTAATATTAAGACACTGTTGTAAGTCCATCATTTGTCCACATGTATACAGTATAATAAAAACAATTAATATTAAACATATAATAATTGCTATAAATAACACCAAAAAGGACTAAATTATATAAAGTGGAGTAAAGAGAGTACAACTGACCGATATTGACGATACGGATCTTCTCTTCATTCTTGAGGAACTGAATGGCAATATTGACGTTCTCGAGCTTTTGAGCCCTAACTTTGGGCCGTTTGTTATACGGCGGCAACTTCTTGCCGGCCAACACCTCCACCAACGCTATCAGCCGCAGGCCATCCGTGAAATCGGTGCCCAAATCGGTCACAAACTTGTTCACTGTCCTCAAGTGCTCGTTAGCCCATCTAAACGCGTGTCGTTATAATAAGCTCTCTATTAATACAATAGTCAATGTGTCTAATACTGTCTATTAGTTTTCAATTTAAATCTCATCTCAATTTGTGGTGCATTGAGACTGAAAGTGGAGAATAATATTAATAAATATTAATCCAATTGAAGACAATGAATATATCTATTGTATAGTCATATCATATAATTTATCTAATGATGAATTTTTCTGTATAATAAATGCGATGAATGTGTTATAAAATTCTGGTGAGATTTATATTGAATGAACAAATATATGATTTGAGTATTAAAAATATTAGTGACATTTAATTTTGGCTCCCATTCCTGTCATTATTTCTCTCTCACACAACATATCAAATATTTTTACACACGAATCATAAAATTCATAAAACCTTATGAATGAAAACTATTTGAAAGCTTACAAAAACAACTTTTAACGCACGAAAAAGCACTAAAAACTTTTCCCAAACATTGAGCAAACAATTTATAGTAATTAAAAACTCAAAAACTATTGTAAAATAGAAAATAAAAGTGAATGGGAGGCGTATGGGGTGGGGGTTGGTGTCGATATATGTATGTATGAATGGTGACAAACCTGGTAAAAGTGTTTTGTTGGATGCGTTTCCATACGGCGTCGTCAGCCAAGTCCTTCTCCATGATGTCCTCTTCATCGGCTCCCGGTTTGGCTCGACTGCCTCTACGAATCGGCTTATCGTCGACAGGCATTATCGGTGGCGCTCAGAGAGCACTTGCTCTACAACCCCGGTGTGTATTACGTATGTATGTGTGGTATGTATTAGTGGGCCGTCACCTCCCAATCGGTGCTTCCTATCCGTGCGAAATGGGTTTGTATTTGATCTGTCGTTACAATGGCTTTCAATGCTTGACGAGGAGTGGCTTCTGATCGGATGAACAGGTGCTGTGTTTGTAACTGTGAATCAAAATAATAAAACACATTGAGATGCATATGAAGTGTGCATTTATAAAGCCTGTGAATCAATTGTATTGTAATATTAATTGTGGGAATCTTAAGTGCATTATTACACGCCTTTAATTGTCGCTTACTTTCTTTATTATACACGCATTTCATTTGTACACAATATGAATAATTGTGTGCAACTTTTCAATCGTAATATTTATATTGATGGTGAGTTATAAAATAAGAATTTTATAGT